AAAACAAATAATTATGGTGTATTTAGAATAAAATGTAAAAGAATGTTTTTTTTTTTTTTGCATAATCATCCATAGCCCAAAACTATTTTCTTAACAAACTGAATAACAAGTAAAAGAAAAAAAATTGAAGTCTATTCCTTCTTAGTTCAACATAGGAAAATTTTATTTTAGTTACTTTTTATTAAATAGTTATCTATATATATATAAAAGAGAAAAGCGACTCCCTCACTGACTGACTAATCACGATATCTCTGGACCTATTCAACCTACAGACTTGAAATTTGGTAGACATGTTCCTTTCATAGAGTAGACATCAGCTAAGAACGGATTTTCAGAAATTCGAAACATAAGGAGCGTTACGGGGGGTTAAGGGGCGTTATAAATAATTGTTTCCATGTTTAAACTACTCAATATACAATTTTGAAATTGGGTAAGCAGATTCCTTTCATACAGTAAAAAATCCGCTACAAAATGAGTTTGGTGAAAATCGACCCCCAATTGGCGTTGCAGGGGCTTAGGGGGCGTTATAGATAATTATTTCCACTTTTAAAACTATTTGACGCACTGTCTTTAAATTTAATACATAGATTCCTTTCGTAGAATAATGATCAGTTACAAAACGGGTTTTGTGAAAACAGACTTCTAAGTGGCGTTGCTGGGGATTAAGGGACGTAATAGACAAATATATCCGTTTTTAAACTACTTCACCTACCTGCTTGAAAATTGGTAGGTAAGTTTCTTACATGGAGTAAATATCCGCTACAAAATGGATTTTGGGAAAATTGACCCCCAAGGGGTGTTGCGGGGGGTTTAAAGAGCGTTATAAATTCCAATTTTTAAGTTATTAGACGTACAGTCTTCAAATTTAGTAAGCAGATTCCTCTCATAGGGTAGAGATACGCTACAAAATGGGTTTCGGGAAAATTGCCCCCAAGTGGCGTTGTGAGACTTAAGGGGCGTTATAGATAATTATTTCCATTTTTAAACTATTAGACGCACAGTCTTTATATTTGATAAATAGATTTCTTTCATAGAGGAGAGATCAGCTATAAGAAGGTTTTGTGAAAACAGACCTCTAAGTGGCGTTGGGGGAATTAAGTGGCGTAATAGATAAATATTTTCGTTTTTAAACTACTTGACCTACCTGCTTGAAAATTGGTAGGAATGTTTCTTTCATGGGAGTAAATATCCGCTACAAAACGGGTTTGGGGAAAATTGGCCCCAAGGGGTGTTGCGGGGGTTTAAGGGCACATATAAATAATGATTTCTATTTTTAAACTATTAGACGCACAGTCTTGAAATTTGGTAAGCAGATTCCTCTCATAGGATAGAGATACACTACAAAATGTGTTTTGTGAAAATCGACACCTAGGTGGCGTTGCGGGGATTCAAGGGGCGTTATTGATAATTTTTTTTTTGCATTTTTTATTTATTGGACGCACAGTCTTCAAATTTTGCTAAGCAGATTCCTTTCATAGTGTGCAATTCCCCTACAAAATGGGTTTTGGGAAAGCAGACCCAGAAGTGGCGTTGCGGAGGCTCAAGTGGCGTTATAGATAATTATCCCCATTTTTAAACTATTAGATGTAGTCTTGAAATTTGATAAGCAGATTCCTTTCGTAAAGTAGAGAACCGCTACAAAATGGGTTTCGCGAATATCAACTACCAAGTTTAATTTCGGGAGATTAAGAGGCATAATCGATAAATATTTCCATTTTAAAAGCTTTTATTTAACTTACAATGTATGTATGTATGTATGTATGTATGTATGTAATTTGTTCGGGTGGAATCTTGCAACTCAATTTTGAAGCTGATATCTTCCTCCTATGGAGCTGAAATTTTATATACACGTTTAGTTTGGATGACAATGCATGTTTTGACCATTTATATTCCGATATTGCAGTTAATTAAAAAGATATTAATTAAAAACGTTAAACTAGTTTTGGACGCCAACTTGGATATATCTGCATTGTTGTAATAATTTTATTGTTACAACAATGACAAAAGTTGGCGTCGAAAATCGGTTTTCAGCCAAACTGGAATTTCATAACGTTGCGCTATTGACTGTATTAATTAACTTTGTCTAAAAAATAATTACATTTCCACAACGTAAAAATAATCTAATTTCTACAACATATGCAATTTATTTTACAAATTTCTATCTATTTTCTTGGATTTTAATTTTTTTAAAAAGTAGAGCTATTTTTCAAGTAGATTGGTACATTGTATACCTTTCTCAACGCTGCCAAGTTAAACTGAGATGGAGTATTATAGAAATTCTAACTTTAACCCCTTAACTGGTTTGACCGTACACCTTATGAGCTACTGAAAGTTAGCCACAACCGGTTTGCCCGTGCGCTGTACAGGCACCGAAATTTTTTCTTTCTATATTCTATTTGCACAGACATTTTTATTCCTATAATAAGGTTATTAGTATAGTGTGTCATTAGGAGATGCAGAGATAGAGTTTGTCCATGGTACTGAACTATTCTTCATTCAGAATTTTGGTAGTGGTGAAGGTGAGAATTTTTCACTGAAGGCAAGTATATTCTTGAAAATATTGCATAAAGAACAGGGATTTACAAGGCAATGTACAATGTGTTGCCTAAGAAAAAGGAAAATGGATAGATATTCCAAAGAAGTCGATATTATCTCTAACCCCATTGGAATATAAGACTTAGTGTTACACTATTCTTCATATTGTGTGTGCATATAAATATGCACACACACAAATGAAATCCTATCAATCGTATGAAAAAGAGGTATGAACATGAAATTTTTTTGGTAAATGGAAGAAAATATATTTTAAGATATATGTGAAATATTCTTCATAGTACGCAGAATGTACTTATTAAAAGCAAACATTTAAGGGTTTTTGTGTTCAAAAATTATAAAATAAAAAAAGGTGAGTAAAATTTTAAACCGGAGATTAAAATAAAACTCTTCCATTTTCGCGCGTTCTGTTAATTATTATGCTTAGTTACATGAAGTTAAAAAATTAGCTTTTTTTGGGAACATTTTTGGTCAAAAAAATTGACCGCTTAAGAGGTTAATCTATGAAGCTCAGACAAAAAATAATTATAGAATCGGAAAGATCATTTATTTCGTCCCGATACGGTATAATGTTTTTTACAAAATAATAATATTTGTATTTCTTTCGATTTTTTTTAAATAAGTCAAAATCGATGCGTTTTTATGAAAATAATGTCTAAATCGACGCGCATGAATTTTTTTTGTTTAAATGAATCGACATTCCGTAATAAAATAGCTCATGATTTGCTCTCTTAGAATCAGTCATTTAAAAAATAAAATATCGAAAAAAAATTTTTTACGATTTTTCAAAAAAATATTCAACATTTTAATATTTAATAACTTTGCCATTTATGAAGAAAATCTCATAAAACTTTTTTTCGTGTGTAGGATAATATTACCCAAGATCTGTACGAAGATTGAAAGAATTGCTTAAAATTTACGGATTTAAGAAAAAATTATGTTTTTCGTCTAGTACCCTTTTTGCGAGAATTCATTTAGCTCGACTGTTCGAAATTAACCGTCTAATACCTAGCAACAATGATGCGTTGAATGAGATGAACAGACTAAGAAACCTGTCCAGTGATAACTAAAAAGTAAAAAATAAATTAAAAGTAAAAAAGGTTTTTTTAAAACAAGCTTTTATTTAAACGCGCTAAAAAGAATAAAATAAATTTTTCTTTAAATTTTTTTTACTATCAACTTATAACGTCATTACACAATTTATATGATATAAAAGCTTGTCGCAAGATTAAAGCACTCTTATTTACTTAGTTTGAAATTTTTAAGAAATTGAAATCAATCAGATCAAGTTATTTAATTTACTTGTTTATCTGCAGAGGTAAATCTCGTTACAAGCTTTTATATCATATAAATTGTGTAATGACGTTATAAGTTGATAGTAAAAAAATTTTAAAGAACAATTTATTTTATTCTTTTTAGCGCGTTTAAATAAAAGCTTGTTTTAAAAAAACCTTTTTTACTTTTAATTTATTTAAACTATTTGATCATCCTGCTTGAAAATTGGTAGGCATGTTCCTTTCGTGGAATAGAATTCCTCTAACAAAGAGTAAAACAAAAATTGACCCCAAGGATGTTTGCGAGGGGTCAAGAGGAGTTACAGAAAAAAATTCCTGCTTTTAATTGTTAGACCCATATACTTGGAATTTGTGAAGCATGTTTCTTTTGTTGAATAGGGATCCACTAAAAATATATTTTAAGCAAATCAAGTTCTGGGGGGGGGTGCAGGGGGTTACTGGGACGTATGGACAAAAAAATTCCTTTTTTCTAGCTACAAGGACTATAATAATGAAATTCGGTTTGCATTTTTCTTTAGTTGAATTGAAATCCGCTAAGAGCGGTTATTTTGGAAAACGGCTCTCAACGGGATTACGGGGATATTGATAGTAAAACTTTTGTTTTTTTCTGTTAGATTTAGACTTGAAATTTGGCTTGCATGTTCAATTTACGGAGTAGAGATCCACCGAAAATTGGTTTTGTGGGAATCCACTTGGTTTTTGGGTTACGAAAGAGCAAACGTCATTCTATACTCCAATTTTAGAGATTTTTAGAAAATACAAATTAGATGAGTTCTGCCCTTTTTTTGTTATCAACAGGCGACAGTTGCAGGTATAAGTATATTTTTCAATACAATCGACTTCTTAATGTGCTAGGACTTATATATCAATAATTTATGCATATATATAAGCAGTAAAAATTTATAAAACATCACGAAATACCCAGCGAAGCGGGCGGGGAATGGCTAGTAATTAATATAAATATGTATATACACATATGACAGAATTACAATATTAAGTGACAAAATAGAAATAGATTTTCCTTGCAATTTTCCATTTTCTTTTCTATATATGGTGTTGGATTGTTTTGTTTGTTTGTTTCTATTTATTTATGAATTAAATTTAATTCTAATAAAATATAGTAAAAATAAATGACATTCTCCGAAATTAGGTAATCCCAGGTGGGATTCGAGCCCACGACCTTTGGATTAGAGGTCCAGCGCACTATCTATTGCGCTACAGGGAATTATTAATTCCCTGTAGCCCATTCATTAATAACTCTTATTTTATTTCATTAACATAAATTTAATTAATTATTCATTAATTAAAGTTAACTTATGAATTAATATTTGAAAAAAATTATTAGCATCAAGTGCCATCCACTACAACCTTTAAAAATGTACTTGGACTTGAGTGGATGCATATAAAGTATTTTATTATCGATCAAAAATTTAAATAAGATATATAGGGAGAGTGTGAACTAATAGTAGGAATTGAAAAATAACTTAAAAGAAAAGAGTCAGATTCTTGTAATATTTAGTTTTTCTGGAATGAAAGAATTCGTATTCTCCGTCAAAACTAAAAACAGATCAAATTGACAACTACTTTAAAGATAAATTCTTTTTGTAAAATATATTAAATTATATAAAACACCTAATATTATTAGATATTTAATGATATTTTAAGTATATATCGATAAAAAACTAATATGTTTTTGGAGATGCATTCAATTTTAAATATGAATTTTGCACTTAGCAATTCTTTATTCCTTTAAAAAAACATTTAATAAGGGCTTATTTTTTTTCTTGGAATATATTTTATGTATTAGAATGGTTTTTTCTATATTTTAATCTTCATAATATCATATTTACCTTCTCTCGACTTAATTAATGAAGTAAAAAAATTCTTTCTCATAATATTCCCTCCTAGAAATAATCCAAAATGTCAATTTTTTTTTTTACTAAAAGCCTGTTATGTTTAAATTCTTCAATTGCGACTGTGAAAAGTATTTAAACAAAATTCAAAAATTGGAAAAGTAGCAGTAAATGGGAATGTGTACTCAACTTTGTGATATTGGCTTTCAATTGAGTTTAATATCTATTTTTTTGAGAAAAAATAACTTAGCTAACATTTTTTATGGAGAAAAAAATAGACACAAGAGCTCCAACATGGAGAACTCAGTTAATTTTTAGTAAATTTTAGCTTGTTATTCAGGAAATATTAAAATTTAATCAGTATTAGACTCATTGAATAAATAAAAAGAATTCTGTTTAGTGGGAATTTTATATATAAGAATAAATTATCCAGGTTGTAAAGATACATCTTTTAATCTATCAATTTATCTTAAATTCGAATCACCAAGAAGTTGTTGTTTTAGTTTTTAATAAATAGTATTTGAATATAGTCTGAAACTTAAATGACTTCATCTTGAGGTGAAAAGTACAATTTATGTAACAGAAAAAAAAAGAAATAGTTCAAGTGGCAACTTAATAGTCCGCGAAAGTTTAAAATTATGTAAAGTTTATAGTTCCTCTATTCAAAGGCAAATTAACTTCGCAGCAGCCACGTTGGTGGCGATATTGCATCTTAAAATGTAGCGCAATTAATAAAATTACTTCCTGTACCAAAGAACGTCATTACACACCAAACAAAAAACAGATCATTTTAGCCCTTGCATAATTAATTTCTGCAAATGAATGCATGCTCTCAGGTGTGGTAAATTCGATAGTGCAGAATAAAATCCCTATTAAAAGAGGAAAAATAGAAAATAAGAGAAAATTTTGTAAAAATCATTTAATTATAAAGTATTATCTTAAAAAGAAAAATATCAGTAGAGAAATATGAAAATTAGTGAATAAATAAACATCTTAGGAAACTTTACTTGATAAAATATTTTTCGGGTGTTAGGAATGTGGCTTGTAAAGAAAAACAAAAACACGCAGACAGAAACGTAGTTGTATAAAACTAAGCTACTCAAGACTTCTAGACTAGAAATGCTGCTCTAAACCTGATTTGATCTACTGTAGAATCGCTGAAATAATTAAAATGCTCTTGCAAATGAAAAGTCAAGGGGAAAATTTCAAAAGAATCAAAAGTTATATATATATATATATGTACACTCTTTTCCAAAAAAATCGAAGCACCAAGGAGTTGTCAGATTGTGATAATAATTGGTAGTCAAAGACTTCATGAATGAACATACAAATGATCAAATATTCAAGGACAATGTACATGAATTGCGGTCGTAGCACGCATTTCTGCTGAGCAACTTGCAAAGTATAAAACTGGTCATAGAGCTGGAAAATGTATCTTTTTTTCGTTTTCGTCGTTGTGATTTCCATGACAAAAAACTTTTTCGAAGATTTTATACGCAATTGGATGACTTCGAACGGGGTCACACTGTCGGAATGCATAAAGTTGGAGAGTCATACAGAGCAATAGATTGTAACCTGCAATGTACAGACACATCCGTGCAAAGGTACTGGCAGCAATGGTTGCTGTGAGAAACTTATCGACGAAATGAAGGCTCAGGAAGGTCAAGATGCACAAATACGAGGAAAGATCAGATGATTTTACAACAGGTCCGAACTGCTCAAACGGTGTCATTGTCTAGTATTCAACGTACAGCCTATTCCATACCCCTCTCCCGTGGTACCTTCCACAATTTTACGAGGCTTGGCTGAGGCGAGGTTACGCTCACATTGGCCGTTAAGATGCTTGTCTTTGACCCCGCAACATCGGCGGAATAATCTGGAGTAGTGCCACAGTCAACCGTCATGGTTGCCATCAGATTGTCATTGCACAATGTTCACTACTGAATTCTGCTTTAATCTTGAAGCAAGATGATCATCGTGTCTGTAGAGGCAGGGGCCAACAGTGTCAATCTACCTTTGTTTTAAAGAAGCCTACAGCCATAACCCCTGGTGTGACGGTGTGGCGTGCTATCTCAACAGGTCATCCTCCATACATCTTTAAAAGTTCAAATTATATTTTGATACCATCCTGCTGCCGACTATATAACCCTTCAATGCACGTCATCCGGGGGCCAGTTTCCAACAAGATAATGCCAGGCCCCATACCGCTCGCTTATCTCTGGATTGTCTTTACGCCTTTGATACTCTTCCATGATTGGTCTGGTGCCTTTCACCAATCGATCATGTCTGGGACATAAAGTGTGTCAAATTACGGCACCCCAACGTATCGCAGATCTGGAGCAACAACTGGTGAATGCATGGCAGAATATATCGCAGGATGACATTAGAAACCTTCATCACTCCTTGTCGAGGCGTATACAAGCATGTATCGCCGCCAGGGGTGGTTCCACCAACTACTGATTTGAACATTTAAACTGTAATCCATGAGTCGTGGTCTTATGGCCTTGATTTTTTTTATCATTTTATTACCCGTGTATGAACTGTACACATATTTAACTTCATTGAAAACAACCCCTTCCTTCATAGTGTGTGCTTCGATTTTTTAGCAAAAGATTGTGTATCCATCCAAAAGCTTAAGAATTTAAAATACATAAAAATATTCTCTTCAGAAGAATTTTCAGCCAAAAAAGCTTTTGCTTTTGTTGTATAAGAGTATTCTGTTAACTAATGTTTGCTTATATAAGCTTTGAAAGGAATTTTTTTTAAAAAAAAGTATGTGTGCGTGTTGTGGAACTAAAAGTAAAAAGAGCATTTGCCACCTGAAAACAATTCTGCTTAAAATTACAGTAACAAGTATTTAATTAAGCTTTCCTTTATACGAAGAAAGATTATAATTCTTACACGGAATTTTATTTGTTTATTTAAGAAAGGTATATAAATAACGTTAATTGAAGTTTTAATAATGTTTATACTTCATTTTTAAAAACTCGTTTTACAAGGTAACTCCAATAAAGACTTTTAATGATCCCCGTTTCATTGTTGTTTTTCCTCTTCGTGAGCGCAAGTGTTTTTGATCTAGAATTTCAAGCTTAGGAAAAATTTTTCTCGTGTTTTTTTATATTCTTTTAATAAATTTAATTATATAATATCCTCAGTTTTACTCGTAAGCAAATTGAAATAGTATAAAACTGTAGGATGAAAGTATTCTATTCTTGTCAGGGGAACAATCTTCGTGTATAAAAGGATTTTAGAAATTTTTTTTGGTTCCAATTAATTTTTTGGTTTTTTTGGGGGGGGGGGGTGCAGCGAGATATTAATTACCAGGAAAACATTATTATATATTACAAATAACAACTGTGGATGTAATTATAAATTATACATTATTTAATACCAATGTTTATGCATAAATTAAAATTATGTGTAATTGTTGCAAATTTAGGCTTAATAGAAAATTTGTTTAAATAATAGACACTTCACTATTTACTGATGTAAACACTTTTCCTTTCCTAACAAATTGTGGTTACGACTTACGTTGTTCTTCGCCAAAAGCCCTCCTGTTTCATTGTAATACGACTTAAAAAAAAGAGTGAATACCCTTTCTCGATGCTATTTACTCTCTAATGTTGTTTCATTTCAGATTTAATTAAAAATTTTACGCTTGGATATATCGCAAGAGTATAAAAACCAGTTTATGTTGCATTTGTGGATGTAATTACGTAAAAGCGCTTAGCCTTTTAAATCCTCGGCGATTTTTTATAGGAATTTAACATGTCAAGCTCAAAAATGTACCTTTTCAAAAAAGGAAAAGCAAAATTTTTCCTTGTATATGAAATAAAATAGTTTAATTAAAACTTTTTTTTATCTGCAACCAGAAGAAGTGTAATTATTTAGCTAAATTTTCAATGGTTGCTGCGTGAATTAATAAACTTACGATTACTATTCCACGAAAAGATGCAAAATTTAATAATACTAATAATATTATAGCATTTAAATTGTACAAAAAATAATAATTATAAATATATATCTTATTCACAAATTTTCAATCGTTAATAAAATAGTTTTTATTCACTACTCAAGTTCAAATATTTTTAACTTTTAGTGAATGACACTTGTCAATGCAGAGTTTTTTCAAATATTAATTAATTCATTAAATTTAATTAATTATAGTTTAAGAGAATATTTCTATAGATATTATTCCTCCGGGTGGCAGAATCATTGGATAAAACAGCTTTTGTTAAATTTGTGACGAAGATTTAACTTAACCTGAATAATCAATGCTAGTTTGACGTCCGCATTCCTCTTACACTGGTTTTAAGGTAAATTCATATTATATTCAATTTTTATTAAAAAATTTAACTGCAAATTTAATGAG